CTCTTGGTGGAGTGTGGCAAATCCATGTTCATCCATAGCACGAGACTGATTCCAAACTCTCCCGACACTTTCGTCATGGCTAGCATGAAAACATTGCTTGTATCGACATCCAGTGAATCCGGATCTGGCACGGAGTACTTGAACTCTGTTGTTCGTCAGCCACAAAGGATAAACAATGCCATCTGTGACAGGACCTGCTTGTCTGGAGCAATGTGCTGTGCTTATTCAGCTGTGGCATGCCGTGATGTAGACTATTATTGTGGTGTGCAGATAGATGATGGCTATGCGATCATGAATCTCATTCGCGGCAGACTTTACATGACCGTTAGTTTCTCGCTCCAGTTGGTTATTATTGAATGGGGCCCGTCTTTTAAGTTTGTTACGAGAAGGACACAACTTGCATATCACGCAGAATTTGTTCGACATCGCAATCAGATGGGGCATCATGACCCACAACAGCTTTACGTCTCCTTACAGCCCCTTTCCTTGGTCTCGGTAATTCACTTTCGTGGCCAAGGTTGGTCAAATGCAGTTGAATGCGTTGCCCAGGTGCGGCTGGATGAGTGCACACAACCATCGACGATCGCCCTGCATTGCTGAAGAGCTCGTTTGTAGAAGCTGACGGGAACTCGGGACGTTGCACAACGCCTGCCACGGGTCTCTGACTGGTATGCCATTGAACATTGAACCTCCATCTCGATATTGCGTACTCGACACGACGTCTTGCTGTACAGTATGGCCACACGTGCGGGTGATCTATCGGGTAATACATTGCTAAGCAAAATGGCGCGTATGGTGGTGTTATCAGACGATTTTCGTATCCATAGAGAGAGCTGTGAGCACATTGATCTTTTGGGTGAGGACTCGATATGCACCATTTGCTCTGATGCGGTCCAACCTTGAACGACGTTGTGAGTACTGAGCTTCAACAACACCGGACTCCATGTCGAGGTTCAATGTTGTCACCCCGCAATTGACCAACTCCGCAACCCCGCTCGGTCTGGTGGCTTGAAGTCACCTGGTGTACTCTGTACTGCCCGTTGAGGTCAATTAGCGTCTATGGTCTGGGGCTTTGAGGAAGTGGGTGGGCATTGTCCTGCGAACTCTGGAAGCAAACTCATTTGATTCGTGCCGGTCTTGATTGGGGACTGAGAGTCTGCTAAGCACCAAGGGCCAGAGAACCGGCTCGGTGCCGTCGATTGCTGGTGACCAACCATAAAGGTCGTGGCCATTCGGCGAACCGCTCCGGTGTAGTTGCTACTATCCGCGTCAGAAGTCGCATCGGACTGGTTTTAAGGCCCGGCTCTGATATTGCGACTCGATCCTACGGTCACATCATTCATGAAAATCAACTCGGGAGTTCTGCCAGTCAGCAGAGGCAGATGCATAGTCGATCACTAGGTCAGTTTCGAGACGCAAGGACCGTGCCGTCAGGTATGACCATGTGACGAATTTGTTGGCTTGTTAGGTACCTGGTAGGTACGGAGGACCTGTCTCCGTTGACATGGGTATGGAACGACTTTTGAGCTGGGACATTCTGAGCTGGGACATTCTGAGCTGCGGAAGGTTGATTGCCGTGACGAGGGGCAATTTGCTCAGCAGTAGCCTTATCATTTGACAGCAACATAAGGGGGAGCCATGCTGGTGTGCCCGCTGCCTAGTACCTACCTAGGTACCTAGGTACTTAAGTAGTATCAGTATTTTTGAGCACCTGTTTGGTACATTTAGGTAGACACGCTTGACCGGCAGGGGCGAAAAAAAAAGGGTCCTTGATTTAAAAGCTAAATCAGGTACCAGCGTATGACCCAGGTTGCCACTATAAACAGTTATGTACTCCGTACGGAGGGACAACATTGAACTACCTACTCCGTGCATGTACCGAGTAGTAGGCAGATATCTTGATACAGACTGCAACATCGCTTGGCGCTATCCCTTGTCCAGGCCATTGAACCACCTTCTTAAGGGTCGGGTAATTTTAAAGGACCAACGAACGGGACTGTCGCATTACCCCGGATTTTCCAAAGCCACTCCTTCATACGCCTGGCACGTGCGGAACGGTACTTCCACACATAAAGGGGATCCAGAAAAAGCTAGCCGCAGCTTCTGAGCCGATAATCATGTCCGGTGGCAGCACAGTGACCCTATTCGGGGTTGGCTGCAACTGCGCGCACCTAGAGAACAACTGCCGCATGACTACGTGTATTTGCATCATGTACCCATGCATGTGCGCGCCATGTTATCGCAATTCACATTTGATATCAGGGAGTTGCATGGACGGGAAGCTTGCTTATCATGTGCAAAACAGGGTCGTGTCACGCGTCAAGTTGTCGTCAGCGACACACCACCACACCGCAAACACAGCATATGGAGGATATGATTACAGCTACTTCAAATGCAGTGTCATTATACATCCTATCGTAGTATATGTCTCCTTGTGTTGCCACTCGAGGCGAGTATGCTCTAATATACATGGGAAACCCTGTCTACAATCCCTACTCCTCCCTTGTCACTGTGCAGCCTTTTGGTGCTTTAGCTTCTCTTCAAACTTGGCAAACTCTTCCATGGCAATTTCTTCCTCTTGGTCCAGAATTTGATGGACGCCCTTTACTTCCTCGATCTGTGGGACAAAAAACAATGCATTAGCCATTAGCCATCTCGTATTGACCAGTAGAACCACCCATTAGGTAGACGGGGATCGGGGTAATACAACTCACGTAGTGCATCAACATGCCCTCAATGCCATTCTTGAGCGTAACCGTACTCGAATCACAGGTTCTACACGCCCCGCGCAGCTTTAACTTGACATAACCGTCATCAAATCCTCTGTACTCGATATCTCCGCCGTCCTCCTGGATAGCAGGTCTAATCCTCGTCTCTAATAGCTCCTTGATCATACCGACAACCTCGCTGTCATTTTCGTTGTATGCCAAGCTATCCTCTTCGATGTCCTCGTCACCTTCCTTGCGCTCGGCGACACTGACAATGGTCTCCCCTGAGGTAATTGCCTCGGTAATCAAGGCAAAGATCTCTGGCCGGATATGGGCCCAGTTCGCATCTCCTGCCTTGGTGACAGTAATGAAGTCTGCGCCATAGAAGACGGACGTGATGCCATCGATGTTCATGAGCTTGGCGGCAAGGGGGGACGGATACGGTGGTGAGATGGTCGATCGGGGGTTAAGGTATTCGATGAACGGAGTGTTGATCTCTTCGGGAACAACGCGGTGGTTGGGCAGGAACTTTAGAGCGTCTGGGTTCGGCGTGTTTTCTGTCTGGATAAAGATGCTCCGGGTGCCGCCCATGGCAAGGCCTGGTAGAGCGATGCGCCGGGGGACGACCGGCCGCGAGGATACATTGATGTGAAAACCTGGGCTTAGTAGAGAAGGTGATCTTCCTGCGGTGTGCGTGCTAAGCAGGCGTGTCCAGCGCGGCGAGGGTCGTGATGAGCGTAGGGCGCAGGATATGATCCTCGGCGCGGCAGAGGATGGCAGCGCAGACATTTTGCGCCCGGGTTGAATTTGTTGGTTCCTGGCCCGAAGCAAAAGAGAAAATCTGTGTGACTTGGTATAAAATTAGGGGAAAAGGCAATGTAGTCGTGTCGAAGCAATGCGTATATGGCGGAAGGAAGAATTATTCATCGGGGATCGTCGAAAGCCGGTCGCCGACCGTTTGGTGAAGAAACTAATGACCTAATGGCCGATTCCGGCTACTCGCGACTCTTGCAGGCATTAGTAATTGCAGCTCCGTGACGCACCGAACAGACCTGCCCGTGGGTCCTGCCAGTTTTTCCTTCCGCCCCCAAATGCACAAACAGCTCAAGGGCCTCATGCCCCACCTGCTCTTGGTTTTTTTGCCTTCTCGCAAACTGATAAGACAATTCGTTTGGCCGATAACTGCCCCGTTTTTGAAATGCCGCCATAATTGCAAGTACTCTCTTCAAGGGTCCATCATCAGAATCTAGCTGCATCAACCCTTTGACCTCACAGATTCAGGTCATTCACAGCATAAGATGGAGCGAGTGCCATCTGTGGCCACTGAGCCACGTATCGAACCGTCAGAGGAAAGAACGCAGGACCCGCAAGCAGCTTCCAAAGCTAGCACCAACGAGAGCTCCCAGCTGCGTGCCCAGCCAACTGCTCGACAAGCTGCAAAAGGCGTCACCATCTGCGGAGTTTGTGAAAAGGTGGCATCAAAATACAAATGCCCTCGGTGCTACTTGCCGTAGTAAGAGCGTTCATTTCTCCAGCTGAATACGTGTCACGGGATACACTTCTAATCTCATCTCAGCTGCTCTGTTGCCTGCAACAAAATTCACAAAGAAAACCATCCTCCGGATCCCGAGCCACAGCTAATTGCGAAACCTGAAAGTCCACAGCCACCGATCAATAGGTCTCCTGTCACTCTGTCGGACCCCGCCAATCCCTTCCGCGCACTTGATACATCAGAGCACCTGCAACGGTTATTTCGCAAGTACCCAGGCCTCACACAGCAATTACTCGACATCCATGCCGCCACACAACCTCCGCAAGAAGCTCCCGATAAAAGAATACCAGCCTCACTCATGCAAGGTGTACCAAAGAAAAGCAATTGGAACCATGACATTGGCATCAAGAATGGCAAGGAAGCCCTGCGAAGAGCTCGTATGGCGGATGGCGAAGCAGGCGAAGGTATTCGAGAGTACACCGAGTTGATTTTGCATCTTATTAATGCACGGGATGACAAAGACAAGGTTACAGCAATGCTACAGCAGCAGGCGTCCCAGGAAGACACTAAGTTGATTGAACAATTGATGGCACAAGAAAGACGGTGAGACGTTAGTTGTCATGCGTGACAACTACACGGCCGAAGAAAAAGATGAAAATTTGAGTATGCATTATATTTGTCGTGTTCTCGTCCTAAGCCAGTGCTATTCCGGACTTGGAAGCACTGCTTGACATCATATCATATCACCATTGTACAAAAGGGTATGTAGCTTCTCTCCTCCCCAGTATTTCATATCAGAACTAGCGTTTAAATCGTGAAAAGAAAACGCTAATAGGAGACTTCGATGACAGATTGTGAGGTGACTTTTCATCTGTAGGGAATAGCGGTTTATCATCTTTGGAATGTCGTCCGAAGCTTCCCAAACGACCCCGTAGAATCCACCTGGATTCTAGTTTCCGCAACTTAGGTTGCGACTGTTGCGGAGTGTTAATGGCTTTCATGGCCTTTACCTCATCGCTTTGGGTCCAGTCGACTCTGTGTTCACCTGGAGCCCCAGTAGCGACAGGCTTTGTCGGTGAGAACAACGCACCAGCCAACTCGAAAATGTCTATGGGGGGAGCGTCATTCCGCCCTAAGATGCTGCCGGTGCTCCTCCTTCTGGAATCCTTCACTTGATCCCGGTCTTCTCTCGACCTCGAATTAGTATGAAATGAATTGCGATTGAACAAATTATGGGAAAACTCATCGGCTTCGAAAGTCGGCGGTAAGGGCTGATAGGCTTGATTTCGCTCATACTGCCGCTCCCGCATGCTCTGTGTTCTCCTCAGCGCCTTAGCTTGTTCGCAGGGCGGGGCTGTAGGGGTTTTTGTTCTCATTTCTCGACTACCATTCGGGCCGTCGAGATGAAATTTCACGGCGACTTTGGACAACTTGTGTACTGGACCCTTCTCGGTGGGGGGTTCAATCGTTGTAGTTAAGGTAAATTGAGAGGCTGCAACCTGAGGGACATGACGGTAACTAGGCGAATGCTTTTGTTCCTCCTCACCACCTTTTTTGCTTGAGCTGTTCGACTTTTTGGAACTTGGCCGGTATAACTTGTCTTTTGGTGGCGATTCAACTTGTTGTGCTGACTTTGTCTCAGACTTTGGTCTCGGTGAGGAGTCCAATTTGTCGCCATGTTTACCTGCTGGTGGCGTAATATCTTTGCTCTCATGCTGCTTGCAAGAAGGCAAAGATGCAGCCAGTTGTCCAGCCTCAGCCCGGGCTCGCCGCTTTCTTTCCGAGTGTGCCTTTTGCTCTGCAAGCACAACAAACAGCCTTCTCGTCAACTCTTCGGCGTCGACAGGTTGAGACTGAACTAGCCTTGGCCTTGTTTTCGAAGATCTTTTGATTCCATTGTATTTCGATTTCGCGGCTATCCTGTGATCGGTTGGGTAAACCATAGTGACCAGCATATTGGTGTTTAGCCCGTGCAATTGCCGGGGTTGGACGCCCGGATGAAGGTCGAACATAATCGAAGACGAAAACAACTATAGTCCAATATAGAAGATAAAAGTCAAAACTTCGAAATCCGTGTTTGCAAATCAGTCGCGCACACTGCGGATATTATCGAGTATTAGAGGCGCCTCGTCCTAGAGCGATATATATAGACGCGGAAAAGGAACACTACTCTCAGTCTTTCCCTTTTGGGCGGCACTGCGATGCGGGATCCTTGAGGTGGATCGCCCTGCAGTTTACGGTTTACCTGAAGTTAAATGCCAGCTCGAGCTACGCACCGTCCTGACGATACTGCTATAGACTCAAGGCTGGTACAAATAACGCAGAACTGCAGGAAAACAAACAGGTCGCAAAGTTTAGTTCGAGACCGCTGTCGAACTGTGCATCCTTTCTGCCGAGACGGGAGGTACAAGGTATTAAGGCCCAAGGTCGCATTGTAAAATTCATGGTCCTTAGTACCACTCGCGGCCAAGGACACCAAGGGCGCCTCGAGCGCCGACACGATCCAGTTGAGTGGACTGAAAACACAGACTGGGGCGGATGCCAAGAATGGCATGGTCTTAGGCAGAGGCCGACTCCGAACCTGGTCTGCTACTCCATGTTCCGGGTGGGCGTGGACTGATGACACGCGATTAGGCGACCATGCCAATCCTGCATGCAAGGCGTAACGCTGAGCGGGACGTCATTTGGCCATTTGTTAACCCTTGCCTCCCTTCGCATTCTTCCTCTCTCCACCAACACGTCCTCAAGAGGGGAAATAGGCAAAGCAGCCACTGCGGGCCAAAGTTGCTTTGACGCTAAGAATGTGTTTGCTCAGGCCATGTCTTGAAGGCCAGTGCCCAGGAAAGTCAGGAGTGTCAAGCTTTTGAGGAGGTAGCAAGAGGAGCCTCTATCCAAGCTACTGAACTGGTTGGTCAGGGAGCTGTTGCTACGCACGGAAAACATTGAACGGTGAAGTGCCCACTGGTTCGGCAACATGTGGATATTTGGCTCTCCCCAGCCGTCCACCAATCGCTGGTGCAGACCTTAGACCTTGTCGACTAGCTCCCCGGTCCAGGCCCCGGACTCCAGGGCTGGTCGGTTCTGCAACCCGCTGCATAGCGAGTCGAATAAGGTCACTTAAGCATGAAAACAACAGGGCCTGTCTCTTCGTACTTCTGCCACACACACACATTGGATGGATGAAGCCAAGAAGCCCACCAAGAAGAGAGTGCTTTACCAAGGCCTGCACTGCTACAGAAGAGGAGACAAAGAAGGGTGCCAGCATCATTTTCTTTGGTCAGAGCAAAGTGGTTCAACCTCTTCGCCAAAACAGCAGGTGCCAATAATGATCGAGGGCATCGTACGTGTGCACCAGCTCTTCAGAACAAAAACCACACGTCAGGTTGCAGTGAGCCTGAACGAACCACGGTCCGCAAGAAGAACAAGATCTCATCCTCGGCACATCTACCGTCCCCATGTTTTTGTTGGTAAGTTCGGTGTCTGGTGTGGCTCAACATGTACATTGGACCGAGTCACAGGTGTAGATTACGGTGACGACGGTGGGTGTAAAAGGATCTACCCTCTTGCACTGCATGGTTTACCTGACCCAACATCTAAGATGGCGGATTCGAAATTAAAAGTCGAGAATCTCAGAATTGCAGATGAAGATGGCGTCGCTTATGGACAACGTCGACTAACCTTGAGGGACAGAATTGGGAAAGGGTTGCTTATTCAAAGTTTTCCAGTCCGCGCACAAAGCAAAGCTTCTAAGCGTACTGAGTAGGAGTACTAGACTCGGAACCTCTGGGGAACGCTGACAGCCGAGCAAAGAGTCAGACGTGTTTCATAGACGGCATGAGTATGAATAGTAGTCGCAATGTTCGTTTGTTTTTGTTGTTGTCTTGGCGACGGCATATACAGCTGTATAGCGTCCATTCTTTGCGCACATGCATGTGGCATGGACGGATGGTGCTGAGTCTTATTAGAGGGTTCGGCCGCTGCACAAGCGGCATATTCTCGTGGGGTTCGTGTAAATCTTCTATTGGCTATTGAATGTAAAGTATGGGCAATTAGAAAGACAGATGAATAACTACATCCGGTTGGAGGGTGAATGATGTCTGGCCTCGCCGAGGTCTCCTAGTATCGCATAATGCAACCAGCTCTAGACACTCTCCAAAACGCCAAAGGCAAGTATCCCAATGTGTTTGCAGCCCGCCGCGTACTTCCTAACAGTACCAGAAGGTTGTACATGTAATCCCTATTGTAAACAGGTGACAAGATCTTGAGCCCCGAGAGTCGTGAAGAACTTGTGATGTCAAGATGGAGTGATATAGCAGTAGTAATGTGGTCCATGTCTATGAAGTGGTGTTGCGTAATGGTTTTGTCCCCTCAAACATCCGGTATAGCCGTCACCAGGACTATGAACACGGAGTAAATTTGACGTGTAGCGGCACAAAACCGTCCGTTTAGCATGGCAATGCTAATAGGATTGCCGATACATGATCCCAGTCATCTCACTCTGCTCCATTCGTGTGAATCAGGACCTAGCATGTGCGGCCTGGATGCAATGTGTGTGCAGTCAGTTGCGACATCTTGTTTTATTTGGCCAAAACATTATGGGGCCACGGGTAGACATTTGCACCTGAATTACTCGACTGGTGAGCCCGAGGATCCTGCTCAAGTATATATTGCATGCAGCAGCGGCGATGGCTCAGCTTTCCCGACCTGGTAAATGTAAATGCCTTGATAAGTGATTGTTGGTTGATTTCATGACTCCTGGGCCAGGCCGTGGTGTAGGGCTCTTTGAAACATGCACTTGCTGGCTGTAGAAATTGGTTCATGTCGAAGTGTTGCGGGATGCAGCGACTTTGACGGCGTGAATGGCTATCTTTCTTGATCAACAATAACAGAACATGCAGAATACATGAGCAACTGGTAGCTTGAAGAGGCCTTTTGCCAGTTCTTCTTCAAATATCTGCAGTCTCCGGACTTGAATGGTTCTGTATCGGCCCAATTAGTTGGTGGGCTGGCTTTGTCGTGTCTGTAGGCTGACTGTGAACAATGTTGCGCATGAACGGTATGAACAAGGGAGAAGCTTAGAATCCGAAGACAGCATTGAAGGGTTACTTCTGCTTTTTGCAGCACGCCTATTCCTTATATTGGTCTCGTGTAAGCGGTCTTGGTAAGAAGGAATGTCAACGCTTGAAAATACATGGCCTTTGGGGGTTGCGGTCTCCTTAATTTGCCGATTTGATGTCTTCTGGGGCTTCTTATGCGAAGAGGCGGGCGGCATTGGACACAATCACCCTATAAATAAATCTATAAAGTTGCAGGACTTGGGAAATGGAGGAAATAAGCAGGGCCGTTGAAGCAGGGCTCGTATACGGGACACTACACAATTTTTACCCGGTCTTATGGATAATTACAAATTACAGTCTGTGGCAGAATACACTTGCCCAATAAGAAGCGTACATCAATATACTATTAGTATATTTTAGTATGGAGAGCGATTGCTAGTTACCTGGAGTAGTCAGATACATTTTGCCTCCCACTGTATACGCCGTGGACTTCATTCAGACCAATGTGCTAAATACCCTGCTGTCATTGCATTATTTGGCAAGGCGGTGATCAACATTTGAGCAAACATAAAATCTACTCTTAAATGGCTTCGATTGTGGTCTGAAATTTGTATAAAGAAGCCGCTGGCGCCGATTAACTCAACACGTCAGACATATTGCGATTGCCACTTACATCATGCATCTATACTAGCGGCGCGTGGGAATAACTTGATGCCAGGCCTCTGCAAATTCTTCTCGACTGGTCTATCTTGACTTAGATGATGGAGTTGGACTCGTCTACCTTACTTTAATAGAGCTACTCGTTGGGCTATTCGATTACTAGCGCTTAAGGCGCGCTCGGATAGGCAATTTTGTTGAGTCCAAGGCAAAATGCGAGTCGTGTATTCTGCAGAAGGCCAACCACAGACACGGGTACAGCCGTGCTGGTAGAAGTTGAGAATCGGCAGCCGCATATGCGAGATGCTGTGAGACGGGTCCATCGTAGAGGATGTGTGTCAACTTAAAGGCGAAGATTTGGGGGGGGTTCAGAGATTCAGCCATAAACGAATATTCTGTGAGAAGTACAGGAATCAGTGAAAAGAACTGGTTCTTTTGAGAATGCCTGGATGCGCACGCCTCTCTGGTTGGAAGTTCCAAGATTGACTGGCTTGAACGTTTAACCAGACATTTATTTTTGACCAGAGGAGTCTCGCACCTGTCTTGGGAGTTCGGACAACCAACAGCCAGGCTATACTCCGTTCAGTTGGAGGCGAAGGGGATTTGACTTGGACTTGACGGTACCACCATGTTGAGCGTTATCATATACAACGGAGCATAATAGCAGCATAAACTTGGCTACGGAAGACTGTGTATTGCCAGAGACTATAACTCCACCGTGGGAGGCAAGATGGTCCTCGGTTAATTGGGAGAATTATGTGGCCTGACCCTGAGCTGACAAGAGGACACGGAAGGGCGCTGTCGGCTGTCAAGTTGTCAAGTTTGACGGGGTGGCCATGACGTGGGGATGTTCCATGCTCGATGCGGATCATGACGTGAAATGACACCACAGACCGACTTTTTATTAGGCTCGTGAGCCGGGTGGAACACTTTCTTCATCTCGCCAGAGACAGCCGGATGGGGAAGTTTGAGAGGCCTCTCTGGACGAAATCCATGGCGGAAAATGGCGCTGGCCAAGACGACTGCTATTAATAACAGCGTTTTCTGTTGGGTTTGTGTGCTCTGAGCGGAATCCTCCGTAGCCAACAGTTTTAGAGTTGAATTGCCAGTCCCACACACTCAGATGAGAGGACGTCTACTCGTTCATGCATGAACTCGGGCACAAGCTGCCCAAGGACTCTGTAGAAGATCTTTTTATAGCTGACGGGGAAGGCAACAGGATTTTGGAC